ATAATAAATAGAAATCGATAGAATTTGTCGTGACGGACGGAGGGAGGGTCAGAGGGGGGGAAATGATTGAAAAAAAAATCTAGAATTTTTCTTCGGGGGAATTTAAAACGATTGAATGAATGAATGACAATTTAAAAAAAAAAATTAAAATTCGAAGTTAAAAATTTTCCAGGATTTTTATCGTCTGCTTTAAATTTTTTTTTTTTTTAAAACTTCATATAAACTTTTTATTTCTTAATTCTCATTCATAAAAATAAAAAAGTGAATCACGTTGAGTAAAAAAAACAAAAAATTCCTGAAGGATAAAATTTTAATTTTAATTCCCGGATAAACCTTTTTATGTAATACTAAAGTTTTTGGATTAAAACATTACAAAAAACTTTTCCAATGAACCAAAGATAAAAAAAAAAAAAAATTTTCCTTTTTTTTAAAAATGTATTAAAAAAAATCTTTTTCTATCTCTCTCTTTCTCACTCATTTCTTCCTTTTTTTCTTTTTTTCTCCTTCTCCCTTTCTCTCTATATTCTCCATTTTCTTCATTTCTCTATGTATATTCTTAGTTTTTTCTCTTTTCTCTTTCTATCTCTCTCTCTCTCTCTCTCTCTCTTTTTCTTTTTGTTTGTAAAACATTAAAAAATTAAAAAACTTTCGGTAAATTTCTTTCTTTTTATTTTTTGTTTTTTTTTTTTTTTTGTTTTGTAATTTTGGTTGGCTTACCTGTTTTTGTTTTTCTTTTTGTCCTTTCGAATGTAAACAAACTCACATTAAACCGGAAATAATAATAATAATAATAATAATAATAATAATAATAATAATAAATAATCCTCGGTATTTAAAATTAATTGCAAACGATGTGCGAATGTGTACATATAAATTTTTTTTTTTTTTACCCTTTTTTGTAGCCTCCCGAATGATTAATTGCGAGCGTGTTATAAAGTAATAAAAAACGTGGTAATAGAAATTAATTTAAAAAAAAAAAAAATTAGTTTCCGGTAAAATGAAATCGAGAGTTGAAACGGAAAAAAATTTTTGTGGTTTGTCTAAATTATTCGTGTAAATAGATAAAAAAAAAAAAAATTAGGAGATGAATTTGAATGTGAAAAAAAAAAAAATTTTTCGATCGATCGATTCGGAGACGTGACACGAAAATTTTTTTCATCATGGGAAAATAATTCTAAAACCACTTTATTATTATTATTATTATATATATGAATTTTTCCACTTTTATTTTTAACGGTTAAAAATAAATTTTTTCAAATCGTCAATTGTGAAATTGTTAAGTAACAATTATTTGCTGGTTTCTCTTTCTCTCTCATAACATTTTATTATCATTATCATCATTATTATTTTTTTTTTATTGATAATCAAAATGGCCGCCGCAAAAGATTTAATTTAATTTTTAAAAAAAAAATATTTCGGTTTGTTGGTTTGTCTACCTTTTAAACCGTTCTTTAGAGACGATGATGGAAAAAAATAGAAACCGTTAAAAAATCGTGTTTTTAGTCAAGTTATAAAGTGGTATTAGACATAAATTTTTTATTTTAAGGTTTTCGATTCGAATGCGTAAAATCCATTTTTTTTGGCAAAAAATTTTAAACGACTCTCCGGGGAAAAGGATTTAAAAAAAAAAGATATTTTATTAATTTTACGATTGTTTTCGGTTATAAAAAATGTAATATGGCGTGGCACCAGACGCACACGCACACACACACGCGCGCGTGAAGAACAGAATTGAAAATTTTTAACGAAGATAACTAAGAAAGAAATTGATTGATGAACGTCGTAACGTCAGTTGCACAATTACAAACTACTTATTGTTTGGAAATTTCCATCTTGAGTTTTTTTTTTTTTGGTGTATTGGCAACCGTGAAAAATGACGAAGCTCGAACGTTTAATTTTGTTTTACTTTTTTTTTTAATAACACTCGTAATAATAATAATAATAATTAGTGAAATTTTAATTATTTATGACAAATGATTATTTTTTTTGTACGGAACCAATGGCTGTGTCTGAACGCACGTCTAAAAAAACGAACGTTTATACGCGTCTTATATTACGCAACTTAATTTAAAATTTTTTTAATTTTCTCTGAACTCGAAATCATTTATTATTATTATTATTATTATTATCAAGTTCAGTTGAACTTATTAAAGTAAAGGTAAAGCAGACGACGTTTAAAAAGATGATGAGCGAAGCCTTAGGGGTTCTTATCAATTGACGATAGTGATAAAAAAAATAAAATGTATTTAATGAAATGTATGGGAAAAATCACGTTTATTGGACGGCGTTTTAAAATTTTCTCTCTCTCTCTCTTCTTTTTCTATTTTGTTCTTTCTTTTTTCTTTGCCCCTATAGTTTTGCGTCTTTCGCTTTTCCTCTCCCTCTCTTTCATTGTTTCTCTCTATATCTTTTTCTCTTCTCTCTATTTGTTTTTCTTTTTTCTTTCTCTTTTTTTGTTTCTCTTTCTATCCCTTTTCTTCTTATTCTCACTCATAGTTTTTCTTTCTATTTCTTTTTTCATTCTCTCTGTCTCTCTCTCTTTCTTTCTTACTTTTTTTCTCCGTCAATTTTTTACCCTTCTGTCTTTTTTTCTCTCTTTTTTTTTAATTCTTCCCAATCCTTTCTTTCTGTTTTCTTTTTCTATCTTTTTATTCCCTTCTTCATTCTCTCTTTGTCTTTGTTTGTCTTTTTATCTTTCTACCATGCTTTTCATTGTTTTTTTCTTCCCCTCATTTCTTTTTTCCATCTTTTTTTTTTATTTTTCTCTCTCCTTATTTTTTCCATTTAAAAAACTTCAAAAAATCTTTTGATTCATTCATTCATTCATTTAAGAAAAAAAAAGGAAAATTTTTCGAAAACAGGATTTTCAGGAAAATTTGAAAAGGAAATAATGTTCGGAAAAAAATTAAATTACGCGCGTGATATTTTTTACAAGCCTCCGCGTGCGTTTTCTCCAGTCTGACTGACTCACTCATAGATAGAGATAATTTATCATTGATAACAAAAACAAAAAATTTTATATTTCAATTAATTAAATTAAATCGATATATATGGGAGATGACTAAAGGACATGCCTTGTTACTTATACGGTCACATGAAATCCGACAGAATGTAAAAAAAAAAATTTTTTTTTTGGGCAGTTGTCGTTTTGGAAATAAATATGCGTGACGTCACATCGCATCAAAACGAAAATATCGTACATTCCATTGATTTTTCTTGTCGTTAACGTAATAATAATAATCTCTTTTCACGTGCGAAATTAATTAATTACACGTCGATTTTTAAAAATAAGTTTAAACAAAAAAATGGCGGGAAAAAAATTTTGAATATTAAAAAGTTGCGGTTTTAAAATCTTCTGCTTTGTTTCGTAGAAATTAGATAATCATCAACATCATCTTTTTTATTTATCAAACTAATGAAGCAGAAGAAATTTTATTTTTACACTCAGTTGATTTGTTAACCGAAAGGTAATCACTTCGTATATTACGTCACAGAAATTTATTAACAAATCATGAAAAACTGTTTCCGGTTTAGTCTCAAATCGATGTGTTGGATCAAAGAAAATGAAAATACAAAGAAAACTTTTAGAAGCATTGACGTGTGGTTTTGTTTTTTAAACCTTTTTGTGAGGGGAGGAGAAGCAAGGGGAGGGAGGAGGGGTAGGCAAGGGTAGGAGGGAGGTCTCCTGATAACACCTACACTGATTCATTCTTTATCACCGATCGAAAAAACTTTCTTTGGTATTTGGGTCATGTCCTGCTTGCCTGCCTACATTTTACTTTTTACTTACACATACCGGAAGTCGATTTGATTAAGGACATTCTTTTCTTTTTCTCCAGCTACCTTCCATAACTTTTCATTCAATGAATCAAATAATAATTTAAAAATAGAATGTTTAGAATGTTCTAGTTTTTTTTTATTTCGGTAACCTACATATTCCAGATTTTTGTCTCTGGATTAAATTTTGCTATTGGTGTAATTTGAAATGATTGAGAACTTTCTGGACTGTCCTAGTAAAAAAACAATGACTGGATTCCTGGAATTTATACATAAGCATTAATGACTGGAGTTAATGACATCGTCATGTTTTTTTTCTTTTTCCCCTTTCTTTCCCCGGCACTCTCTCACTTTTCCGAGCCCCCCCTCCGCTTTTTACTTTCTTTCCTTTTTAAAAGGAAAACTTTTCACCTTTTTTTAACTTTAACTTCCGTCGCCGCCTGGTATGAATGTTTGATAGCCTGAAGAAATCTTTTAAATCTTTTTTATAAAGGATTGAAAGGCAGTTTTTTTTTTTTTTTTATCTCTCCAACGTTTTTAATCAAATTTTTTTATTTTATAAATAATAATAATAATAATAATGATAATAACGGTAATAATAGTATTAATAATAATAATAATAAAACACTTTTTTTAAAAAAAAGATTTTACATTTTCACTTTCAAATTTGAATTTTCCGACATTTTTTTTTTTAATATATTGACTGACGTAGCGTCAGTTGTTATTTATTACTTTTTTTTATCACTCACCTTTAAAAGGAGGAGCTCTGGGGAGGGATGAAGGGGTCAAGAGGTTGCGAGGGGACGAGGGGAGAGGGGATAAAAAAAGAACATCGCGCTCCGAGTTTTAGTTTATAAAAAAAATAATTGCAACCTCGTGTAAAAAAAGGGGAGGGAAAGGGAGGAGGGAAATTATCATTATTATTATCATCATCATTAATAATTTAATTATTTGTCGTTCGTTTTATTAAATTATCATTATTATTACTATATTGATAAAATAAAAAATAATTTTATTAAAAATTTTTAATTTCGTTAATTTAAATTTCAAATAATAATAATAATAAATAAATAAATGAAAATAAAAAGAATAGAAATATAGTAAAATGACGAATAAAAAAAAAAATTAAAATAAAAAACAAGAAGAAGAAGAGAAAGAGGGAGAAGAGGGAGAAGAAGGAGAAGAAGAAGGAAAAAAATCAAAACGGTTTATTATAAAGTGATATGGAAATTTCGAACGTATTATTATTAATATTATTTAATTTATTAACATTTTTAATGACTTCAAATACGGAATCGAACGTTAGAAATTTATCATGCGATTGTTCGGGGAAAAATTCATCGGAAAATCAAAATAATAATAATAATAATAATAATAATTGTCCGAAATCCGCATGGTCGATATTAGGACAAAATTGGTTCGATCTTTGTTGGTACGATGATAATGATATTTGCGTTATAAAAGCAGCCGTCATATTACCGAATAACACGAGGTAAGGAAAATTTTTTATTTATTTATTTTTTTTATAAAGACACCAGAAGTAGATTTAAGAAACGTTTTTTCAAAATGTTTTTTCTTTGTTGTTGTTAATAGTTATGTTGCGTCGCTACAAAAAGTACTTCCGGCTTTATCGCTCGCCGTTGACGAAGCGAAAAAAAGGAAAATTTTACCGCCGGGTATAAAATTTTCATTTGCCGCTTACGACGATCAATGCAATGCTGTTTATGGACAAATGAATGCCATCGAAGCTTATGCTAATGATAAGCCTCACGTGATATTTGGTCCATCATGCGAATACAGCGTCGGTAAGTTTTTTATCTCTTATCACATCTTAACAATCTCATGGAACTGGAAAATAATAATTTTAACCATTTCCCCTTTCGGCTACAAACGAATTTTCTCTCTCACTCTCTCTCTTTCTGTCTTTTTCTCCTGTTTCACCAAAATCCAAATTTTAAAATCTTTATTAATAATAATAATGATAATTTTCTCGCGGAATTTAAATTTCCAAAATCGGGGGGGGGCGGAAATGGAGGAAAGTATTTTTATTGTTTTCAAATTATATCTATAAGGTAAACATAATATTTTTATTGTTTTCTTCTTGTTTGTTCGTTTTTCGATCGATTTTTATTATTAATAATAATAATAATAATAAATCGGAAATTTAAAATTTTATTTTATAAGAAAACTATTAAGATTATTAATAATAATGATGATGACGATAATGATAATATTTAATCTTATCGGTATGAGTTAAGTGTTGAAATTCTTTTAGATAACAAAAAAAAAAAAATTTTTTTTTTTTAAATCAAAACATTTCAATTCACTTGTAATAAAAAAACGTTAAAAGATGATGATGATGATGATAATAATCTGAAGGAAAACAAACGCGTCGTGTTGTGAATATTTTTGTCGTTTGTTTGCTATGCGATCGTGTATGCTCGAATGGTTTTAGTAAAAAGAAGAAAGAGATGAAATCGATACAGTTCTGCCAACTTTTGACCCCCCGATTTGTTTACTACACAGATGTTGGTATCACCGAAACCTGGAATAAGATTAATTCTCCAGGAAAACTTATAAGAATTGATGTGTTGAAACGTGAAATTCCAGAAGAATCGAGTAGTGTGAACTGGAATGAATTTTGGAAGAAAAAAAACTCCGACAAACACACACGGAGACGACTGATTGTCGCGATTAAAATTTAATTATAATAATAATAATAATAAGAATAATAATGTCAATGGCGGGCGGTTCATCATCTCTTAATGGAAAAAAAAAAAAACTCGTTGGATGCACGTGCACGTGTATAATATTTTATGATAATAAATTATGACGTAATATTCGAATTTGTTTTTCATATTATTATTATTATTATTATTGATTATTATTATTATTATTATTATTATTATTATTATTATTATTATTATTATTATTATTATTATTATTATTATTATTATTATTATTATTATTAATGTCACGTGAGAAATTTTATATTTATTTATATGTATATATATATTGTGAGTTTGTTTTATCAAGCGGAAGTGTTTGTTTTATTTTTGTAAGAATCGAATCAGGAAAAAGTTTTTTTGTTTTTTTTGGAAAGGTTGGAGTTTGATAAAACAAAAAAAAAAAATTTAACCGGAAATACCTTCGGGATGATTTTAGAAAGAAGACAAAACGAAAAAA